TTTATGGTCCACACTAGTCCTTGAGATTTTTCAAATCGCACCACAGGGTTAGGGTTAGGATAATAGCATAATAACATAGAACACGGTATGTGCATGTACTGAATGTTTTAATATCAATAAAATTAAAACATACAAATTTGAAAGTTGAGTATTATAAAACTTTATATTAAAATGCATAAATATTCATAACTTGATTTTATCTGATTATTATACCCCCCGCAAACGAAGTTTAGGGGGGGGTATATTGGAATCACCATGTCCGTCTGTCTGTAGACGAGATTTTGTCCGGACCATTACTCAGAAACTATTGGAAGGATTTGTCTGAAAATTTGTACACATATTATTCACCATATGAAGTTGTGCACCTGATATTTTTCATCTTGATTGGATTATTATTTTGAATTTTACAGGTGTTTTTTCATTTTTATTTTGTGGTTTTGTCTGGACCGTTTCTCAGAAAATATTGCAAGGATTAATCTGAAAATTTGTACACTTTTTATTCACCATATGAAGGTGTGCACCTGGAATTTTCAACTCTTTTTGTTAATGTTTTTGCATTTTACAGGTTTTATTTTTAATTTTAATTGACTTGTTCATTTTGGGCTCATGTATAAGGTTTGAGATATAGAATCTAGAATATCTGTTCAAAAATACTCAGTTTAAAACTACTCATAAAAACTTAAAAAAAGAAACATCATCAAGTGTTAAAAACAGTTTTTACATTGCACAGAAGATAATGTAATTTCATTTGTCTCTCGGGCATAATGACTGGACATGCATCCAGTTAAAGATAAATTAATGAGTTTGGTGTTGGAAGTTGTTAAGGCATATCTTTATCAAGTTGGTGTGTTATCCATCTCCAGGGAATAAGGCACAAGAATTAAAGATCTCTCTTCTCTTATTCTATTAATTGTAAAAAATTGTCTGACAAAGCACTTCATTACTGGATGACCAGCTCTTTATTTTCAAAATGCATTTCAAGTTGATATATCAAGATTAATTTGATTTTTATAATGGTTTTTTATTCAACAATCAGTTTGCAGAGTGACATAACACATAATTGCAATACAGTGGACCCTCATTTAATCCGGACGCTTTGGTTCCCAGTCAATTTGTCCGGATATGTGAAAAATCCGGATATCTGAATCACCAGTTAAACAAGACAAAATAGCATTTAAAAATTTCGCTCTGATGAAAAATCGTCCGGATACTGTTATAGCATCCGGATATATTGGCGTCCGGATATCTGAAGGTCCACTGTATATATTTTTAATGCAGTAATAAAAAAAATTAAATGAAAAAAATTAAAAAAAAATGTTACAATGGAATTAAAATGTATTAGTATTGATCATTTGGTTGCACATTTGTTTCATTTATTAAGAAACATGATGAGCAATTATATTTCACTGCAAAATTTTGTAAGTAAATTGTGAACACCTCCATAAAGTATTTTTGAATGGCACCTTCTCTGAAAAACCCAGCGGGGGGTATTTGTCCCTATTGGACAGTTCTAGTTCGAACAGAAACTAATGAAGATTTCTTGATTTTTATCATTTGAAAAAGTTTTTTTTTACCATAATTTATGAATCCATGCATTTCTCAAATCAATTTTACAAGAGTACCGGGTAATGTCTGAACAAATACTAATATTCAATATAGGTAAAAACAGTATATTTTTATAAAAATATGATTTATTACATACAACGTTTCTAAATTCATATGACTTAAAGAAAGTTATATAAAACTGACATATACAGTGGAAACTCATTTATCCGGAATTTTGGTTCCCAGTCAATTTGTCCGGATATGTGAAGCATCGATCTGGATACCTGAATCACCAGTTAAACAAGACATAATAACATTTTGAAATTCTGTTCCGATGAAAAAGCGTCCGGATACTGAAGCATCCGGATATTTGAAGATCCACTGTATATAAAAATATGTATGGTCTAATTATGAATTAATGAAGATAATAATTAATTAAAAATTATTAATTCTACATATTAGTTTTTCAATACCAGGCATCTTAACAGTGAGCAATTAGAAATTTCCACAGTCTAAGGGCAATAACTCTCTTGAACACTGGTTAAAAAAAAAAAAAAAAGAAAGAAACATCAGGACATATTAACATGCAAACTTTTTTCTAAAAAATAACAGCATAAACTTGTACTTTTTCATTTAAAAGTTTCAAAATAATCTCATATTATAAAAGTAAATATTTATAAGGATGATGGCAAAAAAGGTACCATTTTGAACAATTCATAGAAAGTTAATATTTTCTTACATTTTAGAAATTCAATATTTTACATCATTTACAACCAGATTACAATGTTAAATAAATATCAGCTAGTCCATACATTCATTTCTTTGTATCACCTGTCCTTATATTTGAAATATATACAATGCAAATTTACCCTATAGTCATACTATCAGGTCAACAAAGTAAGAAAAAATTGAGAAATTTTCAAGGTCTAAGGGCGATAACTCTTTTGAATAACTGGCCAGTAGTCACCATACCTACATCCATATATTAAGCTTACTTCATAAAAGTAAGGAGAGATATCACACAGCAATACTATGTACATCTACAATGTAGTACAATTGTATTACACAGCAATACTATGATTTGATTTGAACATATTTTATTGATTATACTATACAAATGGGATTGGGCAAAAGTTCTAAAAACTTATTACGCCCTTTCCCTACATATAAATTATACCAAACATATTTACATACATGGGTTTCAGCTTAATATCAAATAATAATAATATAATAATAATAATAATGTATAATAATCAGAGTAAAACATTCAATAGAATACATTTCATATGTAATAGACATGCTGTATAAGATTTACAAATAGAAATAATTATTATATCAACCAAATCGTCCTGACTTTTTTATGAAAGTTTGTACAATAGAGAATAGGTATTCATTTTCAAAATCATTTAACGATTTGTCTCCCCAGAGTAAGGTGTAAGTTCGACAGTATGTAATTTACCCATTCGCAAAAATTTGTCAAAAAATTCTTTCCTGGCTTCTGTATATTTTTCGCATGAGAAAAAATAATGATGAGAATCCTCCACTCTTCCACAAGAACATAGTGGACTCAAGATTACATAACATCAAAAAAGATCGCTATTAAGCACACAGTTATGTCTAAGCCTCGTGTGTATAATATTTAAGCGTCGATTTCCATAACTGAAGTAAGAGGGTGGCATTTGTTTCTTGAATTTGTTTCTTGAAAAGAAATAGACTTTTTAAAAATAGATAAAGAGGGAGAATTTCTTACATTAAGAGGTAATGAGTTCCATTCTTCAATAACAAGGGGAACGAAAGTTGAGTTGTAAGCTTGCAATCTGCATTTGGGTATGTTATAGTTCTGCGAGTTTCTCGTACTGTAACTTGATGAATTACATCGTAAGTTAGGGATTATATCAGTGAGATATTCAGGAACTTGGTTTTTATCAATTTTATACATTGTAGTTAGTCTGGTCTTTTAAACAGATTCTTTCATGTAATGGTTCCCATCCAGTTTCAATGTAAAGTGCATCTTTAGAAGCTAACAGAGTTAATCCTGTAACAATTCTAGCAGCACATAATTGTAGTTTTTCTAATTTTTCGCTGTCACCTATATTACATCCACCCCACACCAAGGAAGCGTATTCTAACTGTGGTCTGATAAAGGTTGTGTACATGAGTGAAAGAGTTTTTCGGATTTAATTGAAACAACAAAAATTTAAGTTTTTTTAACAAGCCCATTTTTTTTGTATGCATTTGCTAGAATAGTATCAATATGTGTAGACCAATAAGATCTTGCGAGAAAAAAATTCCTAAGTGTTTATAAAAAAACAAATTCTAGCTGACTTTGCTGGAAGAAAAGTTTAGGATAATTAACACTTTTTTTCAGGCTAAAAAACATTGCTTTAATTTTAGTAGGATTGAATTTAAAAGCCATTTTTTCGACCAGATTTCTATTATTAAGATCAGAATTCAGTTTGTTAAATAGTATTAACATTTTTAGATGATTTGTCTGCAAATAATCTACAAAAACTTGTAACATTTCTTCAAATCATTAACATATATTTAATAATTTTAAAAACACCTTGAGCATGTACAATTTCTAAAAAATATTACACAGCATTTACATGTACATTACAATGTTACAATTATATTTCAAATACCCCATGTATGTACAATGTAAATATATATAAGTACAATTGTATTACAATATAATACTATGTACATGTACAATGTAGTACAATTGTATTACACAGCAATACTTGTACATTTGTACAATGTGTACAATTGTTTACACATAATTTACTATTATAATGTACAAAGTAAACAGTATCACACAGCAATACTATACATGTCAATGTAATATGTGTATACACAGCAAACTATGTACATGTACAATTGTAACAATTTATTACACAAGGTCTGTACAGTACAATAATATTTTTTGAACTATGTACATGTACAATGTAGTACAATTGTATTACACAGCAATATATGTACATGTACAATGTAGTACAACTGTATCACACAGCAATAATGTACATGTACAATGTAGTACAATTGTATTACACAGCAATACTATGTACATGTACAATGTAGTACAATTGTTTCACACAGCAATACTATGTACATGTACAATGTAGTACAATTGTGCAATTGTATCTCAAAGATAAACGTTCATGTAATCTAGATACAGTTAGACTAGACCCAACTTGCAGTAATTTGAAAAAGAGAATTATTTGAAATTTTTTTAAAAAAGGAAGTCCAAGGATGTTCTAGACTTATAAAAACATTGTTAATTATCCAGTTCTCAACAACAAATGGATATCAAATGTCCCAGTGGAAGTTTGAAATTCGGTATGACATGTATAAAAATTTAAATTGAACACAATTGAGAACTTACATTTTAGTTCATTTACAAAATAAGTCTACATACAAATAAAAGTGTTTAGTTCCCTATAAACTAGTTCTCCATTTTACTGGTTCCCTTGCTCTTCATCTGGATCCCGTTCTAACAACTGGCTCTTCAGAGAGATCCGTAACATGAAACTGGTCCGCGTGTCCATCTTGTTGTATTTCTTCTGTTTGTCCTGCATCACTCCCAGTAAAAACTGTATTACACAATCAATCTACAAAACAGAGAGATGAGAGTGGAAGTTTCCTTTAACTTTCACAAAAAATTTGACACTGAAAGTTTTGTTTACATATATTCTCTGGAAGAAGGAAATTTTGCAGTTTTAATTTCCCCCAAAAAAATAGCAAAAAATGTGGACATTAAGATTTTTCTACAGGAATTTACTTTATGAATATCTAATTCTAAACTATTAAGAACACACTACTAACTATACATGTCCAGTACTCGTACTACATGTATCCTGTCAATTATATTCCCAAACTGTTGAAGTACATTTTGTAGTTTACAATTATATTCTGTAACTGTATTTGAATGAAATAAACTCTTATTATATAAACTTTAATAAATATCTGCAATTAAGATAAGGCTTCAGAAGTACTTATATTAATTAAGGGTAGATGTGAAGAGAATGCAAAGAAATGAGGGAATATTCACTTTTACGTTAAAAGTTGATGTAGCTCTACTCTGTATTCTCATCATTTCATCATTCCTGGCACAAAGGTTCTTGAGAAAAAGAGTTTTAAAACATCCCATCAATTTTTTCATTACATGTATTTCTCAATTATCTCCCCTTGAATGAGGGTGTGGCCCTTCATTTGCAGGGGCGCAGTATCCGAGGGCCTGGGGGGGGGGGGGGGGGGGGGTCCCCCCTTTCATTCCCAATCTAACTTACTCTATAGAAAATGTGAATTGAAAGCCTGGTGGGCCCCCCTATATATATGACACAAAGAAGAACCCCCCAAAAAACTTGTCGTTAAACCTGTGAATAAAGATCACTGTTATCTTTACCCTCTTTAACAAAGAATTTTTGTTATATTTTCTCTGTTAATGAAAAACGCTTTTCTTAATATAAATGGAGATTCTATTCTATTAAAAACATTTAACTGCAGCTTTTTACAAATATTTTGTCGAACATATACCTGGGAGTTGCACACTTCCAAAATGGCAGAAAATGCAGAATCCCCCAATGTCCGGGTTTCTGCCCTGGTGATCTCTGCGCAGGTTGGCTTCAGGCTCTCTTGGTAATATGGGATGAGGACCTCTTTGAGGTAATTGATGACAGTCTGCATCAGATCATACCGATGAGCAGCATTCAGGAACTAGAACAATTATTTAAAGATACAAAAATTTTTACAAGAATAAGGAAAGGATAGCTAATATAAACAATTAAAGTCTATATATTCTTTTACCGTGTTCCATTTACAGTTACTTGTAATAAATGATAATTATTAAAACAAATCATACCATTCTTGCCAGGGCCATTGGCATGGCAATGCCTTCCAGGATCCTGATGTCCATCTTTACAATGGGCTGCAGGTTCTCCACTTCTTTGTTTACTTCAGCTGTTGTCAGTGAGTTCAGATGGCACAATACCACTTCTTTGTTTACTTCAGCTGCTGTCAGTGAGTTCAGACAGCACAATACCACAGGTTCTCTACTTCTTTGTTTACTTCAGCTGCTGTCAGTGAGTTCAGATGGCACAATACCACTGGTTCTCTACTTCTTTGTTTACTTCAGCTGCTGTCAGTGAGTTCAGATGGCACAATACCACTGGTTCTCCACTTCTTTGTTTACTTCAGCTGCTGTCAGTGAGTTCAGATGGCACAATACCACAGGTTCTCCACTTCTTTGCATGTTTACTTCAGCTGCTGTCAGTGAGTTCAGACAGCACAATACCACTGGTTCTCTACTTCTTTGTTTACTTCAGCTGCTGTCAGTGAGTTCAGATGGCACAATACCACTGGTAGCACTGAAGAGGCATTCCAGGCAGCATCCTCAAGGCATCCCAGGCAGCATCCTCAAGGCATCCCAGGCAGCATCCTCAAGGCATCCCAGGCAGCATCCTCCAGGCATCCCAGGCAGCATCCTCCCGGCATCCCAGGCAGCATCCTCAAGGCATCCCAGGCAGCATCCTCAAGGCATCCCAGGCAGCATCCTCAAGGCATCCCAGGCAGCATCCTCAAGGCATCCCAGGCAGCATCCTCAAGGGCTTTGGCATCCCCAGTCTTCTTTTGGTGGTTGGTCTTCTCTATCTTCATGACGAACAGTCTGCTGAGGTACCTAAAGTGTACAAACATTAAATTAAAATTTTAATGCAGTTGTTTTATAAAACACTCTTTGATTGGCTGATACACTGATGTTTGAAGCAATAAAACGAGCATGCATTGATTGCATTAGAATGGGAATAACTTAACTTTTAATTTGGTATTTGCAACCGCTAATGCTGATTTAACGGTCGCAAACATCCGTTTTACGCGTCGCCGGTAAAACTCAAGTTTGCGACCGTTAAATCAGCATTAACGGTCGCAAATACCAAATTAAAAGATAGTTACCGTGGACCCTCATTTATCCGGATGCTTTGGTTCCCAATAAATTTGTCCGGATATGTGAAGCATCCGGATATCTGAATCACCAGTTAAACAAGACAAAATAACATTTAAAAAATTCTGTTCCAATGAAAAATCGTCCGGATACTGAAGCATCCGGATATCTGGCGTCCGGATATCTGAAGGTCCACTGTATTCCCTAACTTATATTCAGTTAACTGACTGTAAAGAAGTTCTATTTTCAATGTCATGAATTTTAAAATGTAATGTACTTTTTTTACAATTAATAATCATTTAGGATAGTAGAGTCAAATCCTAATCTCACGTTAATTATGCCAATGTCATGCTTATCTCATGTTATGCCAATGTCATTGGTATATCGAATCATGAAAATCTTATTCCTTTAAACTAAAAATATTTACTTTCTACAAGGCCCTTTATTATTTAACTTCAAAGACTTTAAATCATATCAAAATGCATAGAATGATATTTGCTTCATGTCTTTAATTTATTTCAGGCAGCATGTTGACGATTATAATTAATTCTTAAACATTTTCTGGTGTTATCCTTCCTGACTGATAATCAGACTAAGCCTTTAGAGATTACATTGAATATGGAATGAATATAAACTTAAATCCTTACTTAAATGCTGCACTCAGATCGAAGTTTGCTGTCACAAGACAACCAGTTAGTGGCTTCCTGGCTTCATCATTGGCCTTCCCTCGCACCTGAACATGCTGAAAATGAAAATGAAATAAATTAACAATTTTATACAGATGGCAGGCTTATGTAAATAATTTTATTATTCTATTTTGTATGGAATAGGAGAAAACTTTTTATTATTCTAATTTGTATTGAATAGGATAAAAGTGACACTTGTTTCACAGCATTTGTATGGTGAATAGAACAAAATTACTACACATGTAGTAACTTTTAATTGGATACAACCGACACTTCTTGTACATCATCTGTTAGGTGCATTGAATTAATAGAAATAACTTACAGCTCCATTGCTAAGATCAATAGCCAACTGGGACAACTCATCAGTGGAAGTGGGATCATCCCACACAAAGGGCAGACTGTACTTGATGTGAGCCAGGATGTAACAATTAAATGACAATGTACATCTGCCAGGAACAAGAGCAAATAGATAAAATATATGTCTTCACTTCACAAAGGAAAATGGATGAAAAGGAAAAAAAATTGTTTTCACTTAACAAAGGAAAAATGGACGAAATTTTGTTAACCAAGTACATGAACCTTTCATCTCGTATTTTAAGATAAATTTGGATTTGTTTTCTGTTCAGATAGCACTGAATGTAGCAAAATTATATACCTTGAAGCAATATGCAGCTCACTGCATCCATTCAGTCAGGCTGCACACTGGGCAATCACTCAGCCAGGCTGCACACTGGGCAATCACTCAGCCAGGCTGCACACTGGGCAATCACTCAGCCAGGCTGCACACTGGGCAATCCAAGTCTTTCCTGCTGTAGGAGGGCCATACAGGACTGGAAGGTTGAAATGCCGGAGTTTCTCCATCCACTTGGTGTACAGGTTTAGTCGATACATCGAGGCCCAGGAGAGGATAGCTGGCCCTATGTTCTCGTGCAGAATGTCTTCAGCCTTGCCAAGGAACTCGTGCAGAGCTTCTACGCCAGTGGGGACCTGGATTGGGTGCAGAGGTTCTACGCCAGTGGGGACCTGGATTGGGTGCAGAGCTTCTACGCCAGTGGGGACCTGGATTAGGTGCAGAGCTTCTACGCCAGTGGGGACCTGGATTAGGTGCAGAGCTTCTACGCCAGTGGGGACCTGGATTAGGTGCAGAGCTTCTACGCCAGTGGGGACCTGGATTAGGTGCAGAGCTTCTACGCCAGTGGGGACCTGGATTAGGTGCAGAGCTTCTACGCCAGTGGGGACCTGGATTAGGTGCAGAGCTTCTACGCCAGTGGGGACCTGGATTAGGTGCCGAGCTTCTATGCCAGTGGGGACCTGGATTAGGTGCAGAGCTTCTACGCCAGTGGGGACCTGGATTAGGTGCCGAGCTTCTATGCCAGTGGGGACCTGGATTAGGTGCAGAGGTCACCTCTCAGCCATATGAGACTACAGTCCATGGGATGAATCTGAAAAAAGTATTCTGTTACTATTGTTCGAGTATTGAAATAAGAAAATCCACACTTTTAATAAACTTTATTTATTTAATTTTTTTAAAGATTTATTTGTGGGTATGAGATGTTTTGTACTCCAAGCCAAGCTTCAGAAAAATTTAAACATCTAAATTACATAACAAGAGGCCCAGGTGCCACACCGCTCACCTGAGCACATCAGGCTTGAATTTCCCCCCCCCCTTCCAGGCCTTCATCATTTGAACAAACTAGAATCTTCTCTACCTGAGGATAATTCCATGTAAATATCACTAATAATAGCTTTGAAGTACCGGAACTTGAAAAGAAGATTTTAAAAGGTTTCCCTATATATCCCTATGTAAAAATTAAGTCGTCCATTTTTGGCCCCGCCCTACCCCCGGGGGTCATGATTTGTACAAACTTGAATCTACACTACTTGAGGATGATTCCACATGAGTTTCATGTTTCCTGGCCCAGTGATTGTGGAGAAGGATTTTTAAAGATATTTCCTATCGATATATTCCTATGTTAAACTTGGGTCGGCCATTTTGGCCCCACCCTTGCCCTGGAGTCAAGATTTGTACAAACTCCAATCTACAATACATGAAGATGACTCCACATGAGTTTCATCTTTCCTGGCCTAGTGGTTCTGGAGAAGAAGATTTTTAAAGATTTTTCCTATAATTTGCTTTGTTAAACTTGGGTCGGCCATTTTGGCCCCACCCTTGCCCTGGGGTCAAGATTTGTACAAACTCCAATCTACAATACCTGAGGATGACTCCACATGAGTTTCATCTTTCCTGGCCCAGTGGTTCTGGAGAAGAAGATTCTTTAAGATTTTTCCTATATAATCCTATGTAAAACTTGGGTCGGCCATTTTGGCCCCACCCTTGCCCCGGGGGTCATGATTTGAACAAATTTGAATTTACACTACCTAAGGATGCTTTCACATGAGTTTCATCATTCCTGGCCCAGCGATTGTGGAGTAGAAGATTTTTAAAGATTTTTGCTATATATTCCTTTGCTAAACTTGGGTCAGCCATTTTGGCCCCACCCTTGCCCCGGGGGTCATGTTTTGAACAAAGTTGAATTTACACTACCTAAGGATGCTTTCACTTGAGTTTCATCTTTCCTGGCCCAGCGGTTCTGGAGAAAAAGATTATTTCAAAATGCCATTAATTTTTAACAAATTCATGATAATCTCCCCTTGGAACAGACTTGAATCCCCTTTACCCAAGGATACTTTGTGCCAAGTTTGGTTGAAATTGTCCAAGTGGTTCTTGAGAAGAAGATGAAAATGTTAAAAATGTTTATGACAACAACAACAACGAAACGACAGTCAACGGACAAATTTTGATCAGAAAAGCTCACTTGAGCCTTCGGCTCAGGTGAGCTAAAAAGTGAAAATATAATTTTACCAAAGACCCTGTGGCAAGGTCAAGAATCTGGGTGGGGCTAAGGAATATTTCATGGATGTTCCTTCCTGTCTTCCGGCATTGGCAACCATCTTCCTTCTGTAGGTGACAGACTTGGTCCTTTTCCTCGCCTCTAAGGCCAGATGTGCACCCAGCTGCAGGAGCTCGGACTGCTTGAAATGGCAGAGGAGAGTGCCTATACAGAAAGCCCTGTTCAAAGCCGTCTGGAAGTCCTTAGGATTGTGTAGATTCCCTGCCTTGAAGAACCCTTCCCTAAATTTTCAAAATTAACACCATTATAAAAAAAAAATATTTGAAATTTCAGTCTGATTAATGGCAACTTTTAACCATAGTTAGAGAAATTTTACAAAAGTGTGTACCTTTTCCTATGACTTAAAGCGGCACTGTGACGCACAAAGGGGAAAATTGACAAATGTAGAATTTTCGCATGACCGCTGTAAATTTTGTTCAATTCTTAAAAGTATTCAGTTTCAGAAAATTACATGTTTCAGAACCTAAAAATTGTATTTTTATGGGGAAAAATAAAAGTAAAAATAATTTCTGTCTGCCCCAGAATGAAAATATTGCAAAATACCCTTGTACTTCTTCCTCCCTATTGTAAGCGTGCGCAGAAAAGTGTTGAATAAGTTTCCATAGTTAGTTACCATGCGCGGGTCTCAGTTATCCACAAATGAATGTAAGAAGACCAAAAAATTTGATTTAATCTTTTTAAAAAAGTTTTTGGAACATATTTCTCACCTTGGCATGCTCCAGTTGAATGTTGTTTACAAGTTTGAGCTAAAAATAAGAGCTGCGTGACCTTGACATAACCGAAACAACGAAACGGTAGATACAACCTTTATTTTCCGGCACTTATATTGTGCAGATATTCGCTAAATACTCATAATTTCATAAGTCTTTCTCTGTATGCTACAGATATCTTAAAATTAC